TCGGTACTAACTCCATGAACTGTGCCATCCATTGGTGCATGTCTGCTGCATCCAGCTCTGGTTGTTGACCGAAGAAACAAACCCTCGCCTTGCTTTCCGCACAGTCCATGAATACTAGAACTATCGAATCAAGCTCACACAACACATTCACAATGTTGTGGAGGGGCATCCCCGGGCCTAACAAGCTAACTCTGTCAAGATCCAGTCTGACACCTGCTTGGACGCAGACAATCTTCTCAGTTAAAGCAATGTTCTCCCACCTCTCTGAGAAGAGAGACCTCTAAGAGCGACCTCAAGGCTAAGGGAGGAAATACACCGCCGATTGTGACTGCTTGTTTACTTTCTGCTTATTACAACAGCACTGCACATGCGCCCAACCACCTTGGCGTGAGACTGACGCGCGCGTACGCAACACAGTTGCTATGGGTGCGCGCGCGCGTAAGGAAGTTTTAAAACGACATCGTACAGCTAGCAGTGCAGTATACTGAGGATGTTCACGACGAAAGCGTAGATCTACGATTTATTTTCATTAAACACTTCGCCCATCGACATATTTACCTTTCCTAAACCAAGCATTTTTGTAATTCTGGACACAAGAAATGTGTAAACGAAATTTCAGCTTCCTCCATCAGGTAAAAATATGAAAACATTGTTGTAATTTGTTTCGCTACGGCAGCAGAAGTCCAAGCCCTGGACGTCGTACGCGTACGCAATGAAGACGTTGTCCAGCGCAGTCTGGGCCCGGTTGTGGTGTATATAACAACGCTTATTGAAGAGACGGGGTACCACGCATAAGTTAAAATATGGCCAAAGAACATGAACACAAAAAAGTCTGGAAATATCGCCGAAAGAAAGTCACAAAATTAGAGCATTTAACTGTTTATTTCGTTAAAAAGGTATTTATTAATGGGAATAACAGTGTGAGGATCCGGTCTTCACTGCGTGATAATGACCGGGTTTGGGGGTGACCGCTGTTAATGGACCGAGACGAAGTCGAGGTCCATTAACAGCGGTCACCCCCAAACCCGCGGTCATTATCATGCAGTGAAGACCGGCTCCTCACACAGTTATTCCCTTATTGATACATTTTGTTAGCGTCCAGCTATATGCACATTAGCGGGCATTTTTCTGTGTAGAAAATCGAAATCATTTGCAAACATTTGAACATCCTCGTCCACTCTCGCGATCATCTCCCTTGTTTCTTCATGTTATTTAATTTTTATTTTTGAGGGGGTTTCTTGTTATTAAAATGCTTACTTCCTTGTGTTGTACATTATGACACTATTTTTTTTTACTTCCCAATTCCCAAAGAATCAAATATTTGAGTTGATCGAGATGTTCCCAATATTTTCAATTTCAGTGTCCTTACCGAATTATATAGAATTTTATTTGTCCTTAAGCTTTCTGTCAACTTTTGGATTATTATAGGATCAGTACAATTTCATCTTTGTCGCCCTTTTGGAGTCTTGCCAGACCGAGAAGCTTCATCTCAGCCAACAGACTACGTTAGGTGCTAACCCTGGAAAGTCTATTAGTCATCGTGCAGGACGTGGTGACCGCAGTTGATGTTCCCGAGAATTTGCAATATGCATAGAGTCACAGACGGTCGCCGATTATCTGCGATGTCATTTGTCTCCGTCACAAGTGTCTTCAGATGATATTGTAACGGGAATCCGGGGCTCGATATACCCAGGGGTACAACGAATCCCTAAAAACCCGCCGGGATTAATAACCAGGAGAAATCGGTGATGAATGGCTGAGCTAGTGCTTGACCGGGACCAGCGTTGAGGGCGCCGTCACAACCTCAGGACGTCAACCTGACCCAAGTGGAGTTCGTCTGGTAGCGTAGCTTTCTTCAAGGCCTCGATGACTTTATGGATAGGGGAAGGGTAAGGGGAGGGGTTGGACTATAACTTGGCGCGCAAACGCAATAGAAAAGGGAAGGCTGGGGTGGAGGAGGCAATATAATTTGAGTCTGTCCTATAGGCCTAAAGTCTGGCTCTTAAGTCTTTCCCTATAAAGTCTGACCCTAAAGTCTTGCCTAAGAGTCTGACCTAAAGTCTTGCCCTAAACCTTTATTCTGAGGCAGATTACTTAAAAAAGACAATAACTGACATAAATCAGTCAGGCAGCAGAGACAAGTGGCTATAATTCACAATCAAACTTCTTGTTTGTTTTAATCAATCACCATCAAATAATAAGAATTAAACACTTCATCAGATTGGGTCACTTTAGTTTGCATACGCAAATTTTAAGTGCTGCCGCTTAAACACAGTGCGCAAATTGGACTGATAGCAAGTCTAATTAAGGAGCGCACATTGCGTTGCATACATGATGTACATGTACACGGCGCATAATGCATGGGCTGTCGTTGGCCGTGCCTTCCTTTTCCCTGTGGACATCGGTATTATTCTTCTTCGTGCTTCGTCTCTTCTTATCTTCTTCCTCTGACCACTTCTTCCATTCCTCTTGCTTGTTTCTTCATCTTCTTGCTTGTTCCTTCTTCTCATTCCTCTTCTTCTTCCGAATCCTGACATCCGTTTGGTTCTTCCCACAGGGCTTGTTCTGGAGGCGAACAGAGCGCTCGATTGCTGTTCCAGCTCGCCCTTTATGCACTTTTGGCAGGGCTGAATCTGGGTCGCGGTGAGCGCGCGCGTTCCAATAGGCTAAAAGTGCGCGTAGCGCGTATCGCGTATGCAAAACGAGTCACCAACCCTGATGATGACATCATTAACCTGTGTACAAAAGTCAATAACACACAAACAATGGGTGCATTCAATAACACTGTGCACATACGTCAAATGCCTTGAACGTTATAAAACTTGCATAAGTACCTGGAAGAAACAACAGTGTAACGCAAAGTTAATGGCTTCTTCACATCATTGTGGAATTATTCTATAAATACTACGAATATTTGGTAAGTCTAGTAGGTGAATAAAGTTGGATTTGAGGGCTGAAAATGGCTTAAAATCAACAAGTTTCATCTCCATTCTGTAGTCCGAGATTTATGTTAAGGAAACCAGACTATTCTCTAGTACGGAAAGATTATTTAAAGGAAAAGCTGATTTTTGTCACAATATAAAGGTCACATTATGTCTGACCATGGCCTATGGAGGAAGGTTATTTATCTATGGTTCCCCCCCCTCCCCCGCAGACAAGGGCGGATCCAGAACACATTTTTTTTGGGGGGGGGGGGCCCCAAAAAAATTTGGCCCCCCAAAAAAGTGGGTAAAAAAAAAATACGGCGTGGGGTTCGGAGCCCCGAAAATTAGGGCCCCGAAAATTGTTTGGATTCTAGATGCTTTGTGGTGCGATCTGAGGCAATTGCTGACCACTTTAACCAATGTTTTTTTGAGGAAAAGATAGTGGTGTGCTCATTGCCTGCCTTTATTGCGATGTCACATAACAAAAAAATTGTTTCGTGTTTTTTTTTTGGGGGGGGGGCATGGCCCCCTTTGGCCCTCCCCTGGATTCGCCTTTGCCCGCAGAAACAATCTGCAGCCTGCAGGACTTCCCCAAAGACTTCTCAAACTAAAATGTCCTCACTCCACTTTTCTAATTCAAATCTGAGACTAGAGAGATAACACAGCTATCATGGCTTATTAACCACCGATTATGCTAGATAATAACGAACAACCAAATAAAAAAGGTTATAATACATAAATATAAGACTGTTTATATGCATTTAATGAATGACGGCGAGAATTATGTAGTTCATCCCTTGCGCTTAGGCCAAAAAAAAAGTCTCCGGTTTTTGGTATGAGCGCGCGTCGCCGTAGCCATGCGCGTCGGCAAAATGAAAAAGGGTTTTTTTTTCAATGAAGGATGATGTCTCAAAACTGCCAAACTCACTGGTTTGACTGCAATCATGCTGCTGCACAATTTTAACGTGTTTTTGGATGGGGTTATGATCCAGAATAAGCTTTATGTGGCCTCTCTGGACTTCCATATATTTGCACTAAAGTTTAGTCGGGCACCATTTGCAGTCATCAGCCGACATTTGAGGCAAAACAAATCAGGTAAAAAAAAAAAAGTCGCCGCACCACTTTTTGGGCAAGCTCCATACCAGAAACCGGAGACTTTTTTTTTTGGCCTTAGGGTAAATAGTTCAAAATTATGTTTTATTCATGAGCGAGGCCTGATGGCACCAGAAAACAAAACCCAACATAAATGTGTTATCTATCTCCGATCAAAATGGAGCAATTTAAAAATTATTTCCTTCCCTGTCTATAATGTCCGGTCTGAGCTACATTTTTCTGATCAGCACCAGGCAGCCTGTATGAATCGATAATGCGCTTTTTCCCATTAAATTTAAACGAACAACTTAACACACTGTTCGTTGATGCAGTATTTTCATTGAAATGAAATTTCTCTCTTGTTTGACTGATTCACTGACGTTCTTTCAACTCAGAAGTATAAGATTTACTGATCTCAAAAGTATTTTTGAAGATTTGTATTTATCCTTCAAATTCGAACATTAAACACATTTGACACAATACTGCGCCGTTGCATTGATCCACTCGGACAATAGGAAGCAATGAAGAGTAAAGGAAAACACTGATGGTACTTGCAAATCAAAGTTTTATCAGCGTAAAATCAAATATGTGGTAAAATATTCTTTGGAAAAAAAAGGAATTCATCTTGTGGTAACTGATGGAACAAACATGTAGGCCTATTTTATAAGTTTATTCCTTCCTCTAGTACAAAGAGGAATAATGACAGCTATTGTGATCGACGAAGAAAATAAGGATCTCGTCATATTCCGGATATAATAATGGGTCTGGCAGGAAATAGCCAATATTTCAAGAATCAACAAATCAGCATTCATTCTGCAGATCATTATGATTTCATTGCCAATACGTTGGGGGAAATGCAGAAACGATCTCCATCACTTCCTTTATTATTTTAATCCCAAGTTCCTCATTCGTTTACAAACTCGTTTAATTAACTGTATGTCACTAGAGAATCAGTTATTTGATCGTTGGAGCAGCTTGGTCGTCATGGAGGACCGTCTCTATTTCATCTTTTTGTTTCTTCTGCTGGGACCGTTTACAGGTAGGGCCCTATAGTTTCCGTTTGAATTTTGTTTCCCATTGAATCTATGACTCGATAAAAAGTTTATAAAATTATAAAACAAAAAGCTGCATGTATAAGATCTACATGGATGTAATTTTTAAAAGCCCTTTCCGTATTAATCGACCTTTTAGCCATCGAATTTTAACATTTTTTTGGAAGAAATGTTGCGGTACTACATGTGGATAGAGCAGAATCGCTGTTAATTTTTACTGGTGTTGGTATAGACCCTGAACAGCAACTACGTGCTCAGGCAAACAGCATTTATTTATCTTCAAAATGCCAGCATAAAGTTAGCAGGGAGTGGTAAAATCCAATGTCAAAATTTGAAGACACCCATCTGGGAAATGGTAAACACCATCAGTACGAGACTTTTGACACCAAAAGTAACGCTGTATCTCTTAAATAACCCCCCACCCCTTGACATTCAAAATTAACCCCAAAATGGCCTTTTCTGGCTATTCTGCGGATTATAACCTGACTAGTCCTGTTGTAGTAAAGACTTATTATTTCAAATTGGAAACATTCAGGCACAATAGCATATGGAAAGAACTCGGATAGATGCTTAGCTTGAGGCGCTGCCTTGAAAGTTTAACCCCTGAAAGAGGCAACAGGAGTATAGCAAGGGCATTTACATGTATATTGGGGGGGGGGATAACAATGTCTTGAAAAGGGGGCACTTGCACATCCAGGCTGAAATGTATATACAGACACATTTTTTTTCTCAGTATACTTGGCCTCCGTAAAATCAAATGGGGGGGGGGGGGGAGGGGGCTGGTACCATCTGTCGATGGGGGTGCTGTTCTAACCGAAAATAATGCGCACTAGTATAACGGATGTATGGTGCTTTTCAGGGCGATACATGCATACAATTCTTACGAAGGCGCCCATACAGCCGATGGCACAATGGCATGACTTTTTGTAAAGTTACAATTTATAGACATTCCTGTATTATTTGTGATTGCACTGATAAGTAAGTATAGGCTGATTCAATGGATATGTATGAAATTACTATGCCATCTTTATTAAAGATGAAAAGACGGACATGGATGGACATTCTTGAATCATACTACTTTCATTCTTATGATTAATCCAGCTCTTGTTCCATTTATATTACTTATTCAATGTAAAATTGGTATCGTTAAACACTAAAGCATGTATGAAATTGAGATGCAACTTGATACATGTTCATAACAAGGACACACATTTCGTCACCGACACCACGAAGTAACACCCATCTACATACCAGTAACAACTAGCAATCGGAGAAAACAGCAACTAAAGTTGAACGCCTTCTAAAGTTTAAATCTGCCTTCTTTATTAAATCTGCTGTTTTTCACCCGTTTGTGTATTAAATAAACAAGAAATAAGAGAAAAAAGATGAGTGTTAGTTCGTGAAACCGAAAAGGCTGCGAAACTGTAAATTTTCGTTTTCACGAAGTAACACTCTTCAATGTATTCAACACGAGGAAAGTGCAACTTCAGGTCAGCGCGCGCGCGCTCATACAACTTATTACAAGAAGAGTGTTACTTCGTGAAAATGTTTTTGCATGCTCACTTATGAGCAGAGTGCGCGCCATGCATTGCAATGGTAAATGGAACTTGAGTGTTACTTCGTGAAAACGAAAATTGTCACTTTTGCGCAAAAGTTGCCATGGATACTTAGCGTAATTATTAAAGTAAAGCTCTTGAAGCTTTGAAACTTCGTGCAATGGTAGGCCTTGATGAATAATGTTCAAAAATCAAAAAATCTGAAAATCGAAAAAATATGGTTTAACACGGTAAAGTGTTACTTCGTGGTGTCGGTGACGATTTGTGACAAATTTCTGTCCCTGTTATGAAAATGTATGAAGTCTTGAAGATGTGTACATCGCTGTAGTTTAAAAATACCTACAGGTTTAATGTAAGATTGGCCAGTGGCAATCCCTCAACGGATAGATTTACTTTAGGAACAAATTTAGGATGATTCATGCATTTCATTTACTGCTTCCCAACACTTAAAAAGGAATGTCTGTCCATGTTAGGAACGTTAAATCTTGAAGATAATCCTCTGTACTTTCTGGAATCCTGAGAAATTTATCAAACTTGCTACCAAAGTGGACAATGTTCTTACTTGGACATTGGATGTACAAAGAGGAAAAAACATGACAGATTACTTCATGTATCGACTTCTGTCTATGGTTCCCTCTAAATGTGACACTTTAGTTACCGTTTGTGTGGAAAGACCCCTAGGCCTATGTCAGTTTTATACAATAGACTTTACTCATTTACATGTATATCTATGCCCCGACTGTCTGTGATATTTAGTGATATTAGTGCATTAACAATGTTCTTAATATATTAAATTGTCAGTTATGTGCTCATCTATGAAAGTCTTATTGACTTCAGTGGTGTGTTCAATATAGACTATGTCAAAGCGATTAAAATGGGCAACAAAGTCATTAATTTCGCAATAATACTCACTGTCCACTGTGCGTACAGTGCAGATTTAGTTTTTTGGGTGGGATGGGTTTTTTTCACGCTAGATACCCACTTCCTATACAAAATATCCCTCAAATGACCCAATGCATCACCTCTGAAGTGGGTGCAATCATATTGCCATTTTTTTTATTTTCATCCCCATTATCACCCCCGCTAATAAAGTATTGAAATCAGATTACCAGACGAATTTTGGTTGTGAACGTTGCATGCGTCCGAAGAGTTTGATTTAAAAGTGAACAATTTATAATGCACAAAACTATTGCTTCTCAGATGTTTCAGCCATCGTTGATTTCACCTGTATCACCAAGCCTCGTATTGATATCGGCAGTGAAGACACCTACATCGCTGCCTATCTACATGGCGGTAATGCTGCGCTGTCCTTCGCTCGAACAATAAACACGTACACAAGCGTCGATGAAAACGAACCATTAGGGCTACCTTCAGACCACTTTTTGAAAACGTATTCGTCATCTACGGGAGGTAAGATCTCTAGTCTTCGATTGCCAGCGGCTGGAGGGAAGACTAGGATTGGAGCCTTTGCCTGTAGAGCCAGGATGATGGGAGGGGATGACATCAGCATTGGTACGGTCATCATGAGCAAAACCGGTAGGTTGAACTTAGGACCAGGCATTAGCTTAATCCCGAGAAAGAGGATGAATATTATACCCCCACATTTTGACCAGTGGGGATTGATCCAATGGATCATCCCCCATAGATATATACGAGTTATTATAAGCGACAATAACAATTAATTAATAATAACCAGCTGATGGAGCGGCACACCAGAAACATGAGATGTTTGTGCCAACAAAAATACATTCATTGTGATAGATACCAAAAAGGTATATAAAATGCTGGAATACACGAACCACCAAAAGCACTCAATTTTAAATTTTAAATTTACGGAGATACAAACCTCTTAGATTACCGTGCAAACGTACATGTTCTATAATATTGTGCCGCATAATATATAGACATTAATGCGTCTGTAATACGAGTTAAAATTCTTCAATGTCAGTGACTTGAGATGTTGGTATACACGAGGCGTTATTAGCAGCACCAACTGCACGACATTGTTGATCCAATATGGCATGCATGAAAACAAACGGCAATTGTTCGTCTTTATTGTGTCTAAACCAAGTTATTGCAGCACATGGGACATCACAGGGCCCATCCCCAAACCCAATCCAAACCCATGCTTTTCGGAATGTTGGTAAAATTTCATGATTGTATGATTTTCATCCTTTCCAGCCGTTGTCACAAATTAATGTGACGGCAAGGAGACTATATATGGTGTTGATGTGGACTGTCGCTTGGGACACTTTGTTTCCGAAGTGTTCCCTTAAATTTGGGTTCTAAATGAGTTTCTGACGACACTTGAAAGATCGTTAAAAACTTTGAAAACTTATTGGTAGTTATCTCGCAAATGAATTTATTTAATTCATTATTAATGAATGAGTACAATATGCGCCATGCAGTCACACCGTTTCGTTTTAAAAAAAATTGCTTCATATACGTGTGCACTGGGATTGCCCTTTGTGGGACTTATCACATAGTGAATTGATACGACATGGAGTGAGAATTTTTATTTATGTGGCACCACTTCCTTATGCAGAAAGTCACTTTGGCCCCCCCCCCAAAAAAAAACCCAACAACAACAAATATTGGGTTTTTTTCATAGGTTGAAATACGCGTAAGCAAGGAAAAAAAGAGGGACCAGCTCTTGCCAAACGGGTTTTTTCAACAATTTTTCCCCTGCGACATTCCATGGTCTTTCTGCGACCGAAACCCTAGAATACAAACAAAGTTGGGTATCCCCGGACGAAGTGCACTCTTAAACGCTGATATGCTACACGCCTGCCATAAAACGTCGTGTTGTTGTACATTACAGCTGACTTTCTTCCTACCCGAGTGAGTCAGACGGTAAACCTCGGGGATTTAGTTAATCTGACTGTCACTGCAACAGACCAAGCCCGTAACGAAACCCGCTGGAGAAAGGATGGCAAGGGTATCATCAACAAAAGAAACGGCAAACTGCACTTTGATTTTATCAACACTGTTTCCGACAGCTGGATCTATGAGGCTCATTTTGCCGGGGAACGTAAAAAAGGAGAGCAGGCACTCATGCGGTTGATTGTCAGAGGTACATGCTGTTTTCTCAGAAGTTTGTAAAGCATTATAACAATATCAAATAATTTTCTCAAAGTACGTGACGTTATAGAGAATGGACGAGGAACTGTAGATTCGTGCACGAATGGACGAGGCGAAACCGAGTCCATTCTTAGCACAAATCTACAGTTCCGAGTCTATTCTCTGACTTAACCTATTTCTTAAAACAACAATAGTTTATGCAAATAAGATCCCTGGTTTACCACATTATTTTGTGAATAAGTGTAGATTCGTACAATCTAGTCAACTTTGCCTGGCCCTGTGCTTGCATCGTAACAAGATCCTATTGTTATCGGATGGATGGGTGCACATCTTTTGTTCCATTCATCAATTGCACAGTTCATTTGTCCTCATGGCAAGTCACACCATAGAGCAAGGACCCAAGGAGTTCGTACTCCAAGACTTCAAAAGTAAAATGATGGTCGCCGCGCTCGAAAGCTACAATAGAAAGCACCTGGCGCCAGCTTGCTCAGTTGCTCACTGCGCTAATCTCGACACAATAGAGATCCGCGCTCACTAATGCCAAAAAAGGAGTTTGCATGGCTTCGTAGACAGTACCATGGTAAATACGCATGCGCAGTTGTCATACATCGCTAAAAATGAATGATTTAAAGTGTTTGTTCGCAGTTGGATGATACTGTATATAAATGTGGTCAACATCACTGGAACAATCATTTCATGAAGAACAAAATGCTCTGTACCTTTAGTGTGAAAACTTGTGAAATATTCCAAAAAAACACATTTCATCAATGATACATTGCTAATTAAAATGTCTGAAAATACATGAAAACTTATCTAAAAGAAATCCTATTTATCTCCAAATTACAGGGACAGATAACGCTTTTAAGCACCAACAACTGCACATTGCTAACTTGAGTTCATAACTCACACCTAACAACTGCGCAGTTGTAAAAACCTATCTTGTCGTAAAATATATTTTTCAAAAAAGAGCAGCGACGTGACATGACTTATTATGCAGCATATAGGGAGGTTGATGGTTACCAACTAAAATGGCGGCGACGATCATCGTGTTCAAAGGCCGCTGGCATTCACGCTTTGAATGGTCGAGGCTTGCGGTCACAGTGCTGTAGCTATAGACATTCCCGAGGGATTGGTATGTTAATGGTCAAAATGTAAATCGCCCAAGAGTTCTGACTCCTTGGGTCCTTGCTCTATGGTCACACGCACATTCAAGATCAGAAGTGTTTAGTGCGAACACACTGTCTTTCCTTACTCCCAAAGCCAAATGGAGTTAGCGCTTCTATGTTACAGCTACGGGATTATAACGGAAAATACTTTGATGCTGTTTATTTTACGGGATTGATCTGAGGAGTTTAAACACCAACCACAAGAAAAAGTTGGCAAGCAACTCAAAAGAGCTTTTTGATTTGTGGAACCACATGTCATTGGCCATTCAATCGAGAACCACATTTCGGTAATCCTTACTTTTAGGACCCCGTTCCTATATAGGAAGGGAAAGATTCACCCAAACAGTTGACTATTAAATGACACTCAAAATTGACATTCTGATACTTCTTGGCACATCTGAACAATTGTCAATGACACCTTCTTGAATATATCAGCAGGTTTAATTTTGTGGAAAGAGGGCAGGGCTTTGATTTATGAGGGAAATTCAGGGGTAAAAGACGACGATGACAACCAGAAAACAGACTCAAAAACCAAGATGGCAAACGTGAAAGCTCGATGCGATGAAAGCTCGATGCTGATTGGCTGTTAAAAAAAAATTCTTATTTATTTTTAGTCTGGTTCCCAGACCAAAAGATTCAGGAATAGTCAGAATCTTTTGGTCTGAGAACCAGACTAATTTATTTATTTTTAGTCTGGATTCAAGAGTAGTCAGAATCTTTTGGTCTGGGAACCAGACTAATTTATTTTTTTAGCAGCCAATCAGCATCGGGCTTTCATTATGTAGGGCTCCCACGCGTGTGAGAACTACAACATGCACGTCTGACTGCGAAAAAAGGTAGGAAAGTCACATTTTCTTCGAAAGTGCTTTCAAAACTACAACTATCATGAGTTTATATGAAGAAAAAAGACTGCTTTAGCCTGCAAAAGTCACTTTGGTACTGGACAGTTATCCGCAAAAGTCAGTTTTGAACAGAACTTGTAAAAAATAGAGGTGTCCTAAAAGTAAGGATTACCCACATTTCTTTAACTTGATGATGAGTAGGCTACATAACGGAATATGCCCATCTCACTCACCACAGGAAAAACTATTACTTGGAAAATATAGGCCTACATTGGAATATATTCTGAGACGTATATGATTGTGTAAGTTTCAGTTTGATTTTGTTAGTTATTCGTCCATTTTATTTATGATTGTCATTTTAATAATGAAAGATGTGTACATATTCTTTAACCGAGGGGAATCCACTGACTTTTTTATAATGCAAATTTAAAGACAAAAAATAAAAATTGAATTTTTAGCTTTAACATATAGATAATAATATAAAAATAAAAAATAAGACTTAAAATAAAAAATAAAGGTAACTGCAAATAACATAAAGAGGAATATTTTCCACTGCGCTTTAGGTTAAAATTTATAATCGCCACCGTATATCATATTAAAAATATCAGCACGGCAAATTAAAAATCAAACGAGAACATTTTGTGTAAAAATTTAAAAAACTAAAGTAGTAAGGTATTTATTAAAATCAGGTACACGTCAAATTCTTTCAGAAAAAAAACAACAAAATTCGTACATTTTTGAGTACCATTAACATTTCTTTTTCTTTTAATTATAATGGACTGAAACTTAAAAAAAAAATCTTTAGTGCCGGAATTATACATGGAATTATACAGTGCCGGAATATACATGGAATTGTTCCCAACAAAAACTGTGGATTCTTAAAACAATCTACAGTTAGGTGTAGATTCTCAAAATAATCTACAGTAAAATGTAGATTCGTGAAAATAATCTACACTTTTAACAATAGTTACAGAAATAGGTTAATCTCTTTTAACCGGACATCGAAGGCCTTAATCCCATGAATCATCTGAAAAGTACAAATCATTTAACTTTGCAGCGAAAGCAAATATCACTGAAGTCAATCTGGTTTTCTGTTTTGATTTGTTTCATAGGATGCAAAGAGAATAAATGGAATTTGACCACCTGTGAAAGTGCATGCCCACTCTGTTTCAATGGCGGTATTTGTGACGACCGGAGTGGAGACTGCATTTGCCCGCCTGGATTTAGTGGCGATATCTGCGAAACTCGTGAGTCGTATTAATAGCCGTGATAGTCTTAGAATTAACAGTTTTCTTGTTTGTAATGAAAAACCTGAAATAAAAAAATCATCAGTGTATGGAACTATATACAGTTGAATACCCCCATTGGTTGGCAGCCCGTCATGACGATGGCTTTAAGTTTAAACCATGACCAGTTCCTACACATTGTTATTCCCGAAGTACTCTGCGGTCATCAATAAATCAAAGTTGATAAATACTTTCAATTTGCCAATCAGACTTGAAATCAACCAAGGAAATCGTTTGATTTTTTTCGGCGGGGCCTGGGGGGGGGGGGGGTAATATGAGCTTTAAACAACCGAGCAGTGAAGGCCGTCATATTATGGGAAATTGTTATGGGCCTCTTTCTTATTTTGATAAACAAAACGTTTTCTTTGTATTTCACAGCTGAAGGCCCTAACCGTTTTGGTCAATCGGGAAGTTTTGGCTGCGACTCAGCTGAGTTAGGAGGCGGTCCTACGTGTGCAGGGATGCTGTTCTGTTTACCAGATCCTTATGGCTGCTCGTGCGCTGCAGGGTACCAAGGAATCGATTGCGATGAAAGTAAGTCGGAAGTTCCCAACTTCGTCCCCAGTGCTCACTTTATTTACTAGTTTCCAATAGTAAGCCCTGGATAGGAAACTTTCTTCCTGAATCCTGATTCGTTACCGCAATTTGCTAGTTATGGATTTTTATCGTGTACTTGGTGCTATTATTCACAACGTGCAGTACGTGTTTTCGCGATCATTCGTCCACGCCTTCTCGAAAATATTTATTTCCTTTCCAAATTGCTCATATCAATATGAAATGTGATACTGCATGTTGTCTCGATATAATATCGTAACTGTTTATTTCAAAAAATCGTGTTTTCGTAACTTACGCCGTGCTCACGCTGCGACGAATTGACTCTGTTTTTTTTTTTTTTACCCCAGACACCGCATACAAAAACAAACGCTAATGTAACGCATAACCAGGCACCAGACTGTTCCTCATTTGCATACGTGTTCAAAAATCTTGCACATGCAAATGATCCAATACCAGGGTGAGAGAGCAGGTAGTGATGGGTGCGTACTGTTCGACACCCTGGGGACGAGGTTAGGAAGTTCCAACTTTGCATTCCATACATCGTCTCAAAATGGGCATAGGTCTAATTTTTCCATTTATTGTTCATTTGATATTTCTTGGCAACTTCTCACAGGCGTGGAATTTTCTTGGAGATTTTACCAGTGTTTCTTGTCACAATCTTGTGTTGTAGCATGTGCTGAAGGTTTTTATGGAGCAAACTGTGAACAGAGGTGTCATTGTGCTGACGGGGTTTCGTGCAACGCAACAACTGGCGAGTGTCGTGGAAACTGCGCGCCAGGATACACAGGAATCAACTGTCAAGGTAATGAGTCTCGATGAGTTCTTCATAATACAAGATTAGCTCCGTATTAATTAAAACTTTAACATGTAGGCCGTCACTTTAATTTTGCATCAAAACTTCACGACGGGTGTTTTGTTTCAGCCTGTGACACTAACACATATGGACAAGACTGTCGCCTCTGTCACTGCATGGAAGGGGTCACTTGCGACAGAACTACGGGCGAGTGTTCTGGGGACTGCGCGCCAGGATTCACAGGAATCAACTGTCAAGGTAATGAGTCTCGATGAGTTCTTCGTAATACAAGATTAGCTCCGTATCAATTAAACCTTTAACATGTAGGCCGTCACTTTAACTTTGCATTAAAACTTCACGACGGGTGTTTTATTTCAGCCTGTGACACTAACACATATGGACAAGAATGTCTGCTTTGTCACTGCATGGACGGGGTCACTTGCGACAGAACTACGGGCGAGTGTTCTGGGGACTGCGCGCCAGGATTCACGGGCATCAACTGCCAAGGTACGCTCTAAACACAACATTGGTTAAAGAGGTTGTGGAATGCTCGAAGACATTTCCGTCATTTTTCGGGTATATGTAGCCTAAGGTGTGATGAAATAAAAACGACTATTGTTTCTGTCATGAAATGAGTACAAAAGGTACTTTGAGAGCTGTTTTTCAGGTCCAGTTTCGACCCGAACGTGCAACTGTGAAAAAGTCGTCGTTGCGGGCAGCAAACAAAACACAGTAAATCGTGACGTAATAAACAGGACTCCCGATGCACAGTAGCATACACGAGTCCTGTTTATTACGTCACGATTTACTGTGTTTTGTTTGCTGCCCGCAACGACGACTTTTTCACAGTTGCACGTTCGGGTCGAAACTGGACCTGAAAAACAGCTCTCAAAAGTACCTTTTGTACTCATTTCATGACAGAAACAATAGTCGTTTTTATTTCATCACACCTTAGGCTACATATACCCGAAAAACGACAGAAATGCCTTCGAGCATTCCACATCCTCTTTAACATAACTAATCATTGGTTGAAATGACCAACAATTATCTAATATGTGTCCAACCAATTTAACCAATTGTTAGTTATTTCAATCAATGATGGGTTTAACCAATCTGTTTTTTTGTTCATAATGAGCATTTATGATGTATTCACACTAGGTCAGATTGTAACGCGTGTATCAGAACGTCAATACGGGTGTTTTGTTTCAGCCTGTGACACTAACAGATATGGACAAGACTGTCGCCTCTGTCACTGCATGGACGGGGTCACTTGCGACAGAACTACGGGCAAGTGTTTTGGGGACTGCGCGCCGGGATTCACAGGGGCCAACTGTCAAGGTAATTACTAATATCATATCGTCGTCTTTGTTTGCTTTCGCATTAATTCCCCACAATTAACTGATTGTCACACAAGACATAGCCCTACACTGATCTGAGAGAAGCTTTGCGAGGCTTGCCTGCATGGGCATATTCGTGTAAATGTATGTTGTTGAATCTAGTGTACATTTATTCTGGCGCCGATAGTTTAATGTACTAACCTGATACATGTGTTGGAAATAATGCAAGTCATCATGTGATCTGAACGGGGAAAGTATGTTATTTATTTTCATCACGCTACCAATAAATGAAAATTTTCAGCCATTCTGAATTGATTGGATATAAGTTGGGTGCTCTGTGACCAGCTTTACTATAGAAGGCTTGCCGTGTCTTGCTTTTGTCCCAGCTTGTGACAATGGCAGATATGGACAAGACTGTCGCCTTTGTCACTGCATGGATGGGGTTGCGTGCAACAGAACTACGGGCAAGTGTCCTGGAGACTGCGCGCCAGGATTCACAGGCATCCGCTGCCAAGGTAATTATCATTTTGTCGTCTTTGTTTTTTTTTCTCGCATTCTTATGCTTGCCTGGGCCTATTCATGTTTATGAATGTCTTGTTGAATCTAGTGTATTAGTCTAGCGCCGATAGTTTTATGTACATGATACATGTAGGGTGGCATTGGTGGCTTGTGCGTAAAGCGCTCGCCTCTCACCAAGGTGCCTACGGTTCGAATCCTGGCCGCGGATCGCATGTGAGTAGAGTTGTGCGTTGGTTCTCTCCTGTGCCACGAGGGTTTTTCTCCAGGCCCTCCGGTTTTCCTCCCTCCGTAAAAATCAAACACTTTCGATCTCTGGCTGTGCTCCGTGGTCATATAGGGTCGATGTAGCCGGCATCCATAGGCGCCTTAAATTACGTGCCAGCGGCCCGACCATGTTGTAGCCGCGTCCTTCGCAATTCAGCATACCAGCTGCGAGTAAGGATGATTAGCCTCCCAAATTAGTATTAGTATTAGTATGAGTATGTGTTGGAAATAATTCAAGTCTTCATGTGACGAACGGGGAATGTATGTTATTTATAAATGTTTCCACGAACATTTCAGCCATTCTTAATCAAGTGGATGTAATTTGTGTGCTCTGTGACCAGCATTACTATAGAAGGCTTGCCGTGTCTTGTTTTTGTCCCAGCTTGTGACAATGGCAGATATGGACAAGACTGTCGCTTTTGTCACTGCATGGATGGGGTCTCGTGTAACAGAACTACGGGCGAGTGTCCTGGAGACTGCGCGCCAGGATTCACAGGCATCAACTGCCACGGTAATTTTACATTTATTGTTCATAACTTGAGACAATCATTTTTTTTTGACTGGAAACCGGGCTGTTCTATACCAATGAAATAACAGTATCCAATAACAAAATACTTGCGAGTCGATAAAGTGTAAATTGCTGCAGGATTTTCCCAGCAAAGTATAAAGGATTCGAACCCACAACACTTGTTTCATGACTACAGTTATCTCAATATTTCAAAGCTTACATGCAGGGAATATCAGCATCGAGTGATAGGTCAGATCAACATAATCACATGACTGGGTATCGCCACGGACGCCGCTGGAACAAATCGAATTTGGGTGTAGACCGATGACAACAAAAGTGCATTCGTGCAGACCACTCCGTGCTGGAAGGTAGCCAGGAAATAAAGTCTGGATGGGGGTGGGGAGGGATGCTGTACACCAACTAACCAATGAGGGCGCCATTCAACAAGTCAGATTAGACTGAAACTATACGTTGCGGCATAATGGACATATACAGGATTTAGCTGGTCTATAAGGAATAATGGGGATGTCAGACAACCCCCTAACGACGCACGTGGGTGTAGATTGTGCTGCTTTATGTTCTCTATCCTAGTAATTAATGAAAAATAAATGATGTCCGGGAAAGTTTGCGTTAATTTCATGCAACTACACCTTGAATTTCTCTCTCTATATTGTTCAATTTCAGTCAAGTTGACCTTTGACGATTTCACCTGTGTCACCAAGCCCCGTATTGATATCGGCAGTGACGAGACCTACATCGCAGCCTATCTACATAGCGGTCATGCTGAGCTGTCCTTCGCTCGAACAACTTACACGTACACAAGCGTCGATAACATAAACGACCAGTTAGGGCTACCTTCAGGCCACCGTTATGAACCAACCTCGTCATCAGAGGGAGATGAGATCTCTATTCTTCGATTGCCGGCGGCTGGAGGGAAGACTAGGATTGGAGCCTTTGCCTGTAATGCTATGATAGCAGGAAGTGGAAACGTCCTCATTGGTACCGTCATCATGAGCAAAACAGGTAGGTTTTTATATCATCATGGATACATAATGCAAGGATACAGAGGGGTAGTTTTGTTTAATGATCGACAACAAATCGATAAATTAATGATTTTTCTTAATAATCGAAATTAAAATTTAAACGATAAATTAATGATTTGCCGGAGTGGGACATCAGGGACATTGTCTAATTCCGGGGTACGGGGAGGATATAGCCCTTTATGACCGGGGGATAGGCCAAAGTATATACGCCCACTTCAAATTTCCTGCAAATTGCTGTGTAGCTGTGAACAACACTGTGTGCCTATATGTGACCTGCTGAGGCAAAATGAGGAATGCCCCCCAAAACCTTGTTTTGCGTAATCGACGCCTGAAGTCGGACGTTCTAGAAAAATTATGTCAAAATCGATATTGATTGTTTTGTATTTTTGAGTAGCCAAGGTATCCAAGATTCATACTATGCATTTTTGTTGGGGAAAAACTACCCACATAACTGGAAAAACTGAAGAACGTTTTTCACTGCCGCTGGTGGTGAAATGCGTGTTTTTTTCAATGCCGTTTTTCTCGAAAGGAGGTTAGCAAAATTTAACAGGACACTGTTGAAAATGCTGCGTCATATCTTAAAAATAAACTAAGCCACAGAAATAAACTTGGTATCATTGGAAAGCCATTCTTTTGCGCTTTAACATGATGCACATAACGTGAAAATTCAAAGGTGGGGGTTATTCTTCATTATGCTATGTCACACATATGCGGAGGATAGGCCAAAGGATCGCCCATGTATGCAAAAAAAAATCATTCGTTGTAATTGATATAAAAAGTGAATAAAAAAGGAATACCACCAAAAGCACTCTGAAATCAAAGTGAAGCTTATAGGTCTAGGATACAAACCTCTTTGATTGGGTGTAAACTGTGTAGACGGACATGAAATAGGCCTACACATTTTCATACAAGTTTTATGAGCATCGCCATATATCTTCATTTATGGTGCCCATTCAGCCAACCCCACCCCACCATTTGGAAATTTGAAATGTCAGTAAACTTTCAGGATTTATTTCCATAGTCGTCATTCCTTTCAGCAAATGTTATAGCTTAGGCAACTTGTAAGGTGTCAGGGGGACTTAAAGGGAACTTCCTCCGTAATGCGGCTGTTTAGGATCCAAAACGCATTTCCCAAGAAATGATAATCGTTGAAAAGTTCGTTAACACAGCATACCATATAAAACCTTACAGATTCCAGGTACAAAGTTCGTCTCTAATATCCCGCCAACGCGTTGGAGCGTTAGTCATGTTTCTAATCATACCCAACAAATATATAAATTGCAACTTGCCTCAATCGTTTTTGTCTCAAATTTCTCACCGTAGATGGAAACGTGTAGTTTTTCTGTGACACAGTAAATTTTGGAGATTTTCGGACGAAAGTACACTTTTAAACTACCCGTCAACCTGACACTACACACCTGCCATTAAATATCGTATTTTTTGTACTATACAGCTGACTTCATCCCTACCCGACTGGGTCAGATGGTATACCCGGGCGGTGTTGGCAATCTGACTGTCACTGCGACAAACCAAGCCCGCACCGACACTCGATGGAAAAAGGATGGCGGTGGAGTCTTCCAGGACAAACTCGGAAAGCTTTACTTTGATTTCATCAATGCCAATGATGACACTGGTGGGATCTATGAGGTCCACTTTGGCGGGGAACGTAACAATGGAAACCAGGCACTCATGCGGTTGATTGTCAGAGGTATACAGGTTAATTACAATATTACTTAAAGTTGAAAAGCCTTTTTGACACCTTCAAATGGTTTGACGGGCAAAACCTAATATTAAATTCACTCACCCCGAAGCAACTTCCATTTTATGAATAGTTTCAAACGATTTTCTTGAAGTATGTGACTGACTTTTAACCGAAGATGAACCGAAAGCTGGAATCCCATTGATGATGTACGATTTCAATATAAATGGTGTGATGTTAATTTTTTTTTTTAATATTTACTTCGTAGGATGCAAAAGGAATAAATGGAACCCGCCATTGTGCCATGCAGATTGTCCAGTCTGTTTCAATGGCGGTGTGTGTGACGATCGGAGTGGAGACTGCATTTGCCCACCTGGATTTAGTGGCGATTTCTGCGGAATACGTGAGTCTTTAGAATAATCTTTATAGTTAGACGGTGTGCGCATTGGACCTTTTTTTTTTTTTAACTATCAAACTGATGTCATCTTTATTGAGACTGTTGTCACCTTAAGCAAATTAAGTCCAGTGCGGATAGCTTGTAAACCAAGGGTTAACTGACCATTGTTTTACGGCCCACGGCTGAAAGTTTTACAGGCAAAGTGGCATGGGACGTGTGTGAATTACGTTTTTACACGTGACACAACTGTGTAAAACTAAGTCAGTCACAATTATGAAATCACGAGACTTCGCAGAGGTTTTGAAGAGTAATAACTGGATTGTTAATCTTGTCAGGAACTGTTTTCTCTGTTTTCAGCTGAAGGCCCGAACCGTTTTGGGCAATCAGGCAGTTTTCGCTGCGACTCACCTGAGTTAGGAGGCGGTACTACGTGCGAAGGGATGTTATTCTGTTTACCAGATCCGTATGGCTGCTCGTGTGCTGCAGGGTACCAGGGAATCGACTGCGATGAAAGTAAGTAAGAAGAATATGCCAGTTTTCTTAACGCATTTTTTTAAAAGATATTCTGTTCGTTCTTGTTATTTTAAACTTTCAACAGAAAAATACTAGATGTTTTTTTTTTAGGCTAGTAATACAAGATAATGACACGTAATCCACCGTTAAGTTTGTTGCTAAAATAGTTAGGCCTACTTTACAAATTTTGAATTATTTGCAACCCGACAATAAAGTTTTCATAACGTAGATTGGTTCCCGCCATCCAATTAGAATCAAGTTTGCTCGCAGGGTGGACATAATAGAGACTAACCCAGCCAAACAAAAAAATCACGGTTTGGAAATAGAGTATACAACTTGAAACTTTGTAAGGGGAAAGGAATCTAATTAAATGAAGCGAACGGACATAATCTTTAATTTCGGCCCATATGAAAGGCTTCGATTTGGCCCTCATGCTTAATATGTGAAGTCGTATAATTATATTTAAAACCATATTTAATGAGACAGATTTTCAGATGATCACGAGGGACAATAATAGTTTCACAACAGTAAACACAATAATTATTAAAATTAATTTAAGAAAACCCTGAAATATACATGTATGATTAGTAAACAGTTGGACACGAGCACTCTCTAAAACAACTATTACTGATAAACCCAAACATAACTGTAGAACGCAATCTAATTGTATTGTAGCTTGTGCTGATGGTGTTTACGGAGCAGACTGTGCACAGACATGTCACTGCATGAACGGAGTGGCGTGCGACAGAACTACGGGCGAGTGTCCCGGGGACTGCGCCCTAGGATTCATAGGCATCAACTGCCAAGGTAATGAACAATAATGATGTATTAACACTAGGTCAGATCCTTTGAATGTAACACATGTATCAGAATGTCAATACGGGTGTTTTGTTTCAGTTTGTGACGATGACACATACGGACAAGACTGTCGCCTTTGTCACTGTATGGACGGGGTCGCGTGCGACAGAACTACGGGCGAGTGCTTCGGAGACTGCGCGCCAGGATTCACAGGGCTGAACTGCCAAGGTATTAAACGTCAATGTAAAATGTTTCCATCCGATGAATAAAACACACATACGTCTAACTGCGATTGAATTTTTCAACCTTATTTTAAAAGCTCCACTGCATTGGTGAGTTTTCCAAACTTCACATTATTGCTGGCAAGGGATGATTCATTGGGATTAGGAAGTAACTGATTGTGAATGTGATACTTCTTAAATGTCTACTCACTCGATCAAAAGGTTTTCAACAGAACACACAGATATCTCAATTTACATCGGATTTTATGAACAAAGTTACTGGAACATTCCTTTTGCTAACACATATTGCATTGTTTTCTTCTGATTGCAGAAAATTGTCTTCCGTATAATGGAATAGCATCGTGCGGTACAACCTGCACAGAATTCTTGGGTAAGACAGTACTCTCACTTATAAATAAAGAAAATGGACTAGATTGATCAGCGCCTGTCTAAGTAAAGAACCTTGTAAACTTGTAAACTTCTAAGTAAAGTAAAGAAACTTGTATAATTTCAGCTTAAATTAACGGACATAATCTACTGAATCAGGCATAGTAGGGATTTCTTCATCAGAAAAATTACTTTTGTTGTATGCATACATCATTAGTTTGTTCGGATATGCAGTGATTTTACTCTATTTAACAGCGCGCTCCCTAGCAAGTTAAGATGCTGACACCTCTAGACTGCTTCCTTCTTCTATAGATTCTGATAAGAATAAGAAGGGGATTTTCTTTGCTAATAGTGTCTTGTTCCCTGGCCTGACCAGATCCCATGATGTTTTGTTAATACCAGTACCACAATATTAGGTAACCGTCACATTACAATGGATGTAACATTTAGCAACAAAGGCCTTTACTTTAGCGCATACCAAGGGCAAAATGCCGAAATATTCAGGAATTCAAAATTTTAGGGCTGATGTATAAACAACCATATGAACATGTATATATTTAGCAGATTTAGATTATTTCGCTTGTTGAACTTCGGAGGTTATTTGCTTAATGTCCTTCTGATGTAAATCAGTTGTTCTTTTTATGATTTTGTTTTTAAATTATTCCTTTCAGACCCTGCTACGAAGTCCCTGGCACCAGGTGGCGTTCAATCCTTCAGTTTATTCCAAAATGATTCGATAAGGACGTTCCGTTGGCGTCCTGTGAATTGTCCAAATGGCAACATCATTGTGAATTACGCATACAAGTTCGGGACAGTCGAGGGTGAGCATGAAGCCGAGGCAGTATGGACTGAAGGCGACTCTGTATCTGTACACCTGTCACCATGCGGTACAGGGTATGGATTTGAGGTAGCTGCTGAAACTACCAAAGGCATCGGACCATTCAGCTTTAAACAGATTGTTCCGCCTATTTGGAAAGGTATACGATACATGGTTGGAAATTGTTAATATAATATTTGTACTGAAAATGCAATGTCACCCCAAAATTCCCCTTAACACTTATTTCCCGGTCACTAGAGCCTAATTATGCCTATCAGTTTGTTCACCGCGCGGACAAACCATTTAATGCACTTCCTGTACTTTATTCCTTTTTGCTTTATCAAACAACTTTTTTGTGTTATCTCGGTAACACTTTGAAATTGGCTCTTGGGAGCGATGTTTTGAGAAGAACATAAAAGGGTATTCTGTGATAAACTTTTTGGGATTCATTTCTACACACAATGTAAGCAAAACACACATTACCACATTATTAACGATACAATCGTATATTCTTGCTGTGTAGTACCTGATACCGTAGGTGGACTAACAGACAAGGGAACCAGTCACAACACCTTAAGTCTGTCGTGGGGAGCACCGGGAACCAGCCAAAAACACCCCTGTCCTGCATCTGACTACCTGGTGACCTTTGACCTCATAAACCTGGAGCAGTGTCTTGAAGTTCATCAATACGGCGGTTCAGTGAATACGACTGACACAAGCGTTACTCTACAAGGACTGAAGGCGTACTCTACTTACAACATGTCTGTCACCCCGCGAAACGAAGCCGGCAACGGTACAACATCATTCCTTCAAGTAACAACTGGGGAAACCTGTAAGTTTGTTTGTCCATATTTGTGTTTGTTCTTTTGATACATTGCAATATTACATAATATTTTGCAATATTACCACGGGAAATTATTCTTTAAAACGAATTGCGCGTTTTCAAAAATTGGAAAGACATCTAATTCATTGAAGGAGTATTCTTCCATCTGTGTATAAATACAGTGCGCACATACATTGTCCAAATTACATGGACACTGAACTTCATAATACATTTTGCACAAACCGTAAAATGTTCTTTTCATTATCGCAAATAACTGCTTTCCGGGGACAGCACTGGAAATCTTAAAAAATAAAAATAACAAAGATGTACAAACCCCATTAGTAAAACCTACTGCGGAAAATCTTAGCCAAATGCACGAATTTCCCTTATCCATCTTTTGTTAGACATCATTCAATTAATACTGTATTCGAATTAATTATTATATTTACTAGATCCTCTGGTTCCACTTGCATTCATCAGCAGTTCAGCAACAACTGATAGCATCACGTGGACATGGAGCCCCATTCCTTGCGGGAGCAGAGGTGGCAACATTATTGGCTACAGGACACGTTTGACTGGAAGGCCCGTTGGGATAGTTAAAGAAGACGTCTCAACCACGTCAGTGAAACACACAGGATTAAGACCCTGTACAAATTACATTCTAAGTGTAAGGGCATACACCAGTGTGGGGTACACCACAGGACGTCCAAATCAGTCTACTCAAACACAAAGGACGGGCACTGTCGGTACGTTCATGATCTCCGAGTTTTTTTTTAACAGGAGAGGTGAATATTAAGTGGGTGTATGACACTAATTGGCTTACATATAGGCCTATGATGACAGTACATATTTTGGAAGTCATGAACAGATAAACATGTACCAATTTATATGTATAATTAAAATATAGACATTAGTTATATAAAGTATGTTTTGATTCTTAAAAACCTCACACACTTATTTTATGTCAATAGCCGCAAAACATACAGGCACAATAAAGGATTTTTTTAAAAGTGATTTAAAAGTTCATTTCCTTGATTAAAACTGGAGACAAGTTCAATTGTGATACCTCAATTTGTTACAGTTCCAGACTATGTATCAGTTATATCCGTCCGCGCCACTTCACGTGAACGAAACGAATTTGACGTTCATTGGACTTCCTCCGAAGGACCCTGCCCTGCGACATCTTACAGTGTAACATATGAGCTCATCACGATGGACCAATGCACCAAGCAGAATCCACCAATCATAACAGATGTAGGAACGGTCGACACCACTCACGCTACTCTCCACCTACCTGCGTATTACTCAAAGTACAGAGTAAATGTCGCGCCAATCAATGAAGCTGGACATGGTGAAGGCAATTTCAAAGATATAGTAACTAACGAAAACGGTAAGTTCGGTGTTTTATATTGGTGTGTTATATATTGTTTTATAACTTTAGTTACAAAATGGATGTCGATCACATCGGGTTTTAGAATAGTTTTTAACCCTAAATTGTACCGTGCCTGTGTATCAACTGAAACGTCAAACATAATTTTGCCAATTGAAAAGACCGTGACACGTTTTCTTCAGTTTCTTGATTTAGGGTACAATTTAGGGATAACTCGATTTCCCAAGAAAAAACAAATTTGGTAAATTTGATCTCTTACAGTACCATCTGCATCACCGGTAATCCGAGGTACTGCAACCAATGACAGCGTCACGTTCTCCTGGGATCCCATCCCTTGTGGCAGTAGACGTGGCAACATCACGCACTACGAGTACAGATTCACAGGGCCAAGACCACAAGAAGAAGGAAAAACCAACGAGAAGAGTAACACCTCCAAGCTGTCGGTCACCTTCCGTGATTTATCACCATGTACCACTTACTCAATCAGAGTTCGAGCATTTACTCGCATAGGAGCAGGTCTGTGGGCAAACTGGACACACCAAGATACAGTCGTAATAGGTAACTCGTAAAACTATTTTGCTGATTTTTTCCCCCATTCGATGAATGGGTCAGGTGTACGAAAGTGCTATAGTTTTTGATTCTCTTGAAAAAAAAAGAAGGGAAAATGGAGCATGCGTTTTACCATTGCTCATTGAAAATAAATATTACTGAAGATCATTTTTTTGTTAATGATGTAGTTTGATTTTTCATCTTTTCCAGATGAAATCCAATCCTTTAACCTCGATCCCTCAACCAATGAAATCAGGACCTCTTGGACAACTGCTGGGAACGAGGACAACCCTTGCTCTGTGACCTCGTATCGCGTTAGTTACCAACTTCTCAATTTGGAACAGTGCCAACCACGGACCGATCTTGCCGTTATAAATAAGACAGTTGTAAATGGCAGTGACATCGAATTCACATCAATGCATGCTTACTCTACGTACAACGTGCAAGTCGTACCAGCAAATAATGCTGGCGCGAAATACAGGAAGAGCAAGACAGTTACGACCGACGAGGGAGGTAAGTGCACTTAAACGCAAGAGGGCGGTTTACCCCTGACTAGCTTACGGCAATGTCTGAATCGGGCCTCCAGAGCTACGGCTATGACTCTTGTCAGCACCTTTCTTAGTCGTTGTAATTGCCAATGGCCGGCCTAGACAATACATCTGGACAGGAGCTTCGGGCGCAGCTTAGCTTTCTGTCTAAAGACAGACTTCTGTGGTACAAATCAGGGTACTTATTCATGGATAGCAAGTAGGCAACGTTTCTTTTGTCAGACAAGGTGACATTATAAGCTAATTATGCGTATGTACCTGTGCATGATCTCATGACCCTTTTCAATGTAATGCAACAAATTAACTCGATAGTACAACACGTAAAAAATATATTGAAATCCATTTCATTGCAATGCCATATACACCTATACATGAACACGATAGTCTTTTCATTACAATGCAAGTATCACTTTCGAAATCCATTTCTTTACAGTGCCATTGGCTGCTCCGGTAGTCGACACAATGCTCCCATCCAATCAGAGCGTTCGAGTGTCTTGGCATCCCCTTCCCTGCGGCAAACGAGGCGGTAACATCACAGGCTACACGTACGAGCTGCGTGACGCATCTGGGTTCATGGTAAAAACAGCCGACACCACGGCAGAGTCTGTTGAAGTCGATGGTCTGTCACAGGGGGCGTCCTACTCCTTCAGGCTGTGGGCGTTCACGCGTGTAGGACCAGGACCCTGGAAGGAAGGAGATTTTGAGATTCCCAAAGGTATAAAATACTCAAAGAGTAATCAGTAACTTTGCTATTCCTATTTTGCTGTTAGCTTGAATGTTTATTCAACTATCACGACAAAGGTGTATTTCCAATTTAAATAAACAAATTATGCTCTTGAAATGTAAATCGAAGAAACGTAAGACTTCGTCAATCTCATAGATATTGTATTTGTTGAAAATCTATTTGAAAGAACAAAAATGTGTGGAAACTATATTCATGAAGCCTGTATGCGTCATAACAAAGCTTTTTACCTATTTTGGAAATGGTGCAATTTTATTTCGCAGGCCCATCATATTACTATGTGTATGTAATAATCGAGTTGGTTTGATTTGTCTTTCGTAAGACGATGCTGCTCCGCCTACTCCGCCTGGGAGTAGTCCTGTGGGCTCATTTTTGGGCGTGGTCGTCTTCATCTTGGTAGTTGCGGTTCTTGCTCTCCTGATAGCTGTCTTAGTCAAGTAAGTTACCGTAATCAAGGCACTGAAAATCAAGGGCGGATCCGGGGGGGGGCTAAAGGGGGCCATGGCCCCCCCCCCAAAAAAAACGAAACCATTTTTTTTTTTTATGTGACATCGCAATAAAGGCAGGCAATGAGTACACCACCATCTTTTCCTCAAAAAAACATTGGTTAAAGTGGTCAGAAATTGCCTCAGATCGCACCACAGAGCATCTAGAATCCAAAAATGTTTCCGGGCCCTTAAGCGGGCCCCGAACCCCACGCCGTAATTTTTTTGACCCACTTTTTTGGGGGACCAAAAATTTTTTTGGCCCCCCTAAAATTGTGTTCTGCATCCGCCCTTGCTAAAAATGAAATACAAGGCGATCTTTTAAGAATCCATGAAGAGTTTCTGGCATTTTCTATCAAAGGAAACGACGACAACAGAGGACCAAGGCACTGGGCAAGGACAACACTGGCGATGGTGTCCAGGATACTTATGGGAAAGGAGACAAAGGTGGAGGTATGGTTGTCTATTATTAATTTGGGCATGTGCACGTAAATATACAAATTAAAAAGAAACTTCTGTTAATAAGAAAGGTCTTATTGCAACCCATCTGCAGAGACAGGACTAGCAAGACCATTAAAACGATGATAATTTCGTAAAGCTCTTAAAAAAACCCGGCAATTCAGTAATTTGAGAATGTTTGGTCGGAAAACGAAACTGGCATTTATTATTTCAGTTGAGTTGAGGAATCTGCCATCTACGTCTGGTTACAAGCCATACGCTACAAAGGGTCATGAACCAGTGGCGTCATCTTCTAATCCACCAAAGTCAACCGATCAAGTAGCTGTTGATATCTCGCCAAAAGTGGGACCATCCACAACATCAACTGATTCAGCATCAGCATCTGGTCCATCCACATCCACTAAGGCTCCCGTGAAGTCCAAACCGTACGTCAATCCTGCCACCAAGTCCAATCTGAAGGCTTCGGCAAAGACATCCCCGAGTTTCTCCCAAGCCGGCCCAGTTGCCATGGCTCACCTGGCTGAATACATCAAAAGTAGAACAGCTGGGAAGATCAATGGATTCCAACAAGACTATGAAGTGAGTCTCTTGACTTTTCTTAATACCAAGATTAATTGTTATTTTGGTCAGACGTACGTACGGTTTTGTTTTTAGATCCGTGTCTTCGTAACTGCGATTTTTTGATAATGTTATTTTCCTATTTCTTCCAGTCGATTCCAAGTGTATCTATCCACCCTTGGAATGTTGCCAAACTGGACCATAACAAGAAGAATAATAGATACAATAACATCTTGGCATGTGAGTTCATTTGATTGGGCGATTCAAAGCTTATCATCAACAGGGCCTATATACCGCTTTTTCGTCAGTATATATTTTACATTTTGTCATTTTAGAGAATTTTACCATGGGATTGTTGCCAAAATCTATCAATGAAGTAAAATGGGGACCCATTATTTAAAATATCTCTAATTTCAGATCCCGCTAGCTTTCGCCTATGGCAAAACTCTAATTTAATATTAAAAACAAATATGCCAGATGTTCGCGGACTAGACCTAAAAATATTGCAATATCTTGTCTCGACAGATGACCATTCTCGCGTGGTCTTGGAGTGTCTTGAAGATAACCCACGATCAGATTACATCAATGCCTCCTACATCAATGTAAGTCTTCATTTCAATCTTTCATGGTTAGGATGCCCATTTAACCACAACACTTTTCCTTTTCAAAAGAAGTGATATAAGCTATTGGTGTATATTTTTCTATCCAATAGGGCTACAAGCATGACTCAAAGTATATTGCCAGCCAGGGTAAGTATTTCGTAAAAAAAATATAATTATTTAAAAAAATATAGTGCAGAGACATACACAGAAACTAACAATATACATATTTCTGCTTGATCCCTAAACATAATGTTAAATGATCTAAAAACAAAAATATCTGATTTTGAAGTAATTTTTTTCAACAGCATCATGTCCTATAATTATTTGAGTGGGTTGTCATCATCAAAAGTTGGAATAGAATTAAACTGTTCAGAATTGCATGCCCCTTTCCTATATCATAGACGTTCAATCTTGTATGTCACCCTTTTCTAATAAGCATGAGGTGGTATATTGTAGTAAATTCAAAGGCACTTAGCATTTATAAAGGCAGTAGATTCGTCCTTGCACGTCACACTGTTCAAATAAGTGTTTCTGTATATGATAAAGGTCCTACCAAGGCTTCAGTGCGGGACATGTGGCGCATGGTGTGGCAGGAACGAGTAGGAAAGATCGTCATGCTGACGAACCTGATCGAAAATGGCAAGGTAATTGGATTTGAGATTGGCCTACGCATGGGTCTATCTATTTCGTTTCTTCAACCGGTCCATGTCGTTCTTACATGCATATACAGTCCCTGCTTTTCCGTGTTTTTTCTAGTTAATAGTAAGATTATAATACGACATCAGATACGTGTACGAAGTTTCATAAAAAGAAACCGGTCAGACATTAAAGTCTGTGAGCCGAAAAAAAGGTGGTTCATACAAGCCATACAATTGCGCCTATATATCATTTTTTTGGTCAAACACTCGAACAAATCTAGAAAACTAGGACATTACCAATCTTCGCCATCCACATGGTGAAAATGTACCGCCATCTAAATACAGCATACCATCTTTTTACAGTGAAAAAATTCATCACCATCTATACACGATGAAAAAAAAACGATCAAAATAAACCACCATCTACACAGGGTAAAACAAACATAATCACCATCTATATGCAAAAAATCATACCCTCATCTACACAAGGAAACAAAAACAAAGTCGCCGTCCACACGTTGAAAAAAAAAAAGTTGTCGCTAATTTTTTTTTATATCAATGTGTATAGGACGCGAATTGCCGAAATTATATTTATTACTCCGCTGTATACCAGACTCACACAGGTAATCATTATTTTCACTTTTTTTTTAATCAAACGATTTCATCTTCAAGCATTCCGTGGTTAGGTTTTATTCTGACCTCTTTTTTCCTCTTTGTCCAGGGGAAATGCGAGCAATACTGGCCAGCGAGTGAGGGCAGCGCAAACTACGGTGATCTGTTCGTCCGTCACGTGGACGAAACAAAACACGCAAATTTCATTGAAAGAATTTTGCACTTGTCGAAGGTAGGTACAAATCATGACATTCTTTTATCCCATCCAGTTTAGGCCTACATTAAAAACACTATGCCCGTTGTAAAAAAGCCCAAACCATGTTTGTGCTTTATCTAGCCTACATATATTCCGTACCATAATTGCTGATACTCGATTAAAGTTGCTTACTTTGTTGCGTGTAAAGCTAACATAACGCAATACATGCCGCCGCTATCTGCCCAAATTAAAGCTTTAAACGCTTCTTCTGAATTTATCCAGATTTTACACATTGCAGAAACTTACTTGTGACCGTCTGATATTCGCACCCTTCTTTCAATATAGATTTCCTTTTTTTTGTAGTGCAAAATTAAAATATTTGTTTATCTTAAAGAGCACTGAGCCTGAGGGTGAATACCGTGAGTTAACCCAGTTCCACTACACCACCTGGCCAGACATGAAACCACCAGAGTCATTTCCGCTACTTCAGTTTGTAAGAAGGGTCCGAGCAACAGACGCTTCACAACAAGGACCCATCGTTGTCCACTGCAGGTATCGTTATGTGACCTCTTTGTATTTTGAGTTCTCAAAAAGCTTCCACGAAGGCATGTTCACTTTTCTCTGCTATCGAAGTCAACCTTAAGTCTCAGTAAAGATGACCCGACTAAGAGAAATGAGTCTGTTATGTATTTCTCTCGAATCAAACTTATGAGCCAACATTTATGAAACTATAAGTACCGATTATATCTATTTAATTTTATCATAGCCTTTCTACGAGCATCGTTCGGACATTAGTTTAACACAAATGAATATCTTCAAACTTCACATTGAGTTCGAGTGGAGAAAATTGTTTAAAACACTTGATTATGTCGTACTCGTTTCTTCAGTGCTGGAGTTGGCCGCACAGGAATTTTCATTACTTTGGACTCCATGCTTGAGATGGCGGAGGCAGAGGGCCAAGTCGATGTCTTGAAGTTTGTACGCGATATGAGGGATCAGCGCTTCCTTATGGTGCAAACTCTGGTGAGTCTTTGGTTTCGGATAAACTTCCAGTTTCAGATTTGTAAATTAAAACTAGAAGGTGACAATTCACACCAACAAGAGTTCATATGGTATGCAACATCTCAATATTGCATCGTTTGTATTTCTAGGATCAATACAAGTTCATCTTCGATGCTCTGTTGGAGTCGAGTCTGTTAGAGAACACGGCCATCAGCGCTGATTGCTTCCATCAGAGCTACGCTAAACTCAAGAAACGGGACAAGAAGACAGGGACTACTGGCATTGAGGCGCAGTTCCAGGCAAGTCGTCTGAAATGCTTTCGGAAACATGTTGATCATGATAAAAGTCTTAAACACAAGGCATTTAAACTTGGTTTGGGAAGGTTTTCCTTCTCAGCAGTGAATCTTAGTTCCCACATTACCCTTACAGTGACGTGACAAAGATGGCTTAAAAGTAACGTACATAAAAGTCAGGTGTCCTACCCATGGAGCTATTATTAAGAAGGTTAAAGGTTAAATATAATAGTAAAACACTCTTGTCATAACTTCTTTAGAAGATTGTGGTTTTAGAGGGCAATGGGGTACTATATTTAAGGATTTACTTGTTAAGCTGTCAGCTCACTTTTAAGGGAAGACCCTTCTCTGGAAAAAAATCACTTCAGCCCGTTCAGCCCCAAACCTGAATGCCCGAGAGGTTGAAACTTCTTTATCAACCCTAAATGAGGTGTAATCTGAAGTAATAAGTAACGACGGATAAGAAGATAGACCCAGAGTAAGTTATTCAACCCTGCTGATTATCTTTGATCGGTTGCCATTTTTTTCTCTGTGATACCTTCACAGATGTTGGAGTCATTCACTGCCTCACCGAGCGAGGAGCAGTGTATGGGAGGGAGAAGCGCCGCCAACGTTGATAAGAACAGATTCAAAGAATGCATTCCAAGTAAGTCAGTATCCAAAATAAAGGCACATAATTACTGGCACATGCAAACCCACTGTTACTGTTACTACCTATTTTCAAAACTCCTTGAAAGTTCATTTCATTTTTAGAGAATATAGGTTCAGTGTTCTCGGTCCACAGTAACAGATTTTGGTGAGTAAGTATAAACACTTTTCCTGTATTTGTTTGGGTTTTGTCAGCTTGTTGGCTCAAGACAGCAAACATTTTTCGTTTTCTCTTTAGCATAAGTTGAACTATTTTTCTTGTGATGTTGCCTTTTTTTCAAAATTTGGTGCTCCAACCACATTCCAATAAGCATTCGTTTGAAGGACAAGTGTAGAATGCTTATAATGTTTTGTTTATTTCTACACTGACTTTGGATTATAAATATCAAGGCCTTGTAGGACATGCATTTTACAATTTTCATTGAAACTGTTTGTCTAACAGAAGACAGCACCCGACCGTATCTGATGACAAAAGGTGACGAAAGAAGTACCAACTACATCAATGCTACATTCCTGGATGTAAGTCTTACAAACTTGCCAATACAATATCGACAACAACTTTGATCCATACCTCACCCGTCAACCCCTAGAGTGATTCCCCTTAAACTTCTCAAAAACGTACATCTTAACTATAACGCCCTCCCATATCGTGCCCATACCCATGACGTAACACTAATAAGGGAACGTTTAGTATTAGCTTGATATATTATGGTTACTGTTAGCAAACATTTGATATAGCGTAGTTATTATGCAGAAATTGTAATACCCTTGGAGTTATAGAAACCTAATTGTCTGTGTTCTTCTATCTAACAGGGTTATAACAGCAAGCATGCCTACCTAGCTACCCAGGCACCTCTGCCTAACACACGGGGTGACATGTGGAGGATGGTGTTTGACTACAAAGCATCTTGCATTGTAGTGCTCAATTCCATGGACAATGACCCGGTATAGGCTATACAATTCCTTATATTTCAAGGGGTAGCTTTGTTTCCACACTTATGAATTATTAAAAAAAGGCTTTTTGCTGAAAATTTGTCAGGAACATGGCAATTAAACGAACACAAAAGACGGTGATATTCCACACGGTACCTGCATGCATCTGTTGAATATACAGTACAAGCTCTTTGATAGGATACGTCATTACCATCCCAATGATATCGCTGGAGGGCCTGATAAGCACTGTACTTTCCTCCCATAAGCCTAAATCTCTTGTGACTCTTGCTATTCTTTTTTCCAGAGCGTTGTCCAGTATTGGCCAGAGAAGGACAGTTTGGAGTTCGGACCACTGACCGTTACACTGACGAATGAGGACCGATATTGCGAGGACATTATCATACGGCAGTTTGATGTTAGCTATCCCGCTAGGAAGGTAGGCAAATGAGAAAGTTCTATCAAAGACCATTCATCAATTTGTCGTTGACTCGTGACGCACCTTGCGCCTGCGCGCTAACTTTTAACTTAGAATCAGGATCCCGCGTCGAACTGTGCTCGAACGTTCATGTCCTGGCTCCCTGCATCACGCTGAGTGCCCGCATTTTTTTGGTAACCAGCGATATGACCAATCTGAGGTAGGCTAACCCGAATGGTCGAATAGACTTGTTCACTTATTGTCGACTATACGTGCGTTCGATTTGATTGGGTATTTCTATAGTAATGGGTGACCGTAGCTATAAGTCGAATGTTGTTTGTTAAATATTGTATATAAGTTGCAGCTTATTCGAAACAGATTATGTCATTAGAAACAGTCCGATGCCTAAAATTTCGTTCTTTTGGTACATGTTTGTATACCCACGAAGCACACGAATCATTATTAGATGTCAGATTTTGCCATTAAATACTGTAGGTTTTGTTGCTAGTAAGCAAAACAAACAATATGTTCAACCAATTACTTTGACAAATAGAATGACGAGGTTCAGAGCGTCTGTCAGATCCAATACCTGGGATGGCCCCCTGGGAAAGAGGTCCCAAGATCTCCGTCTAGTCTCCTCAAGGTGCTGGAGGCTGTTAAGATGTGGACGACTGACCACCCTGATGGACCCATCGCTGTCCACTGCATGTAAGTACTTCACAGGGAGAAACAATCTATAGTTGTCAGCCGTGGCAGCCGCGCAGTTTCACTTTCCTTACCTGCAATCTTGGCCAAATCTCGCTGGGCCCCCAACCCCCCGGCCCCCGTTCAATGTTGTCTCTCATTACGCGGTGTGTGCTCTATCAGCTGGAGAGAACAACATTGACTGGGAGAGCGGGGGAGTGGGTGACCGTGGCAGGCTCAGGAAGTGCCCCAACCATTTTGACCGGGGTTGTAGGTATGCATATTTTAATCCATGGGATCTCTGAAATGTCGTTAAAGCTTGAACTTTTTCCCCTCTGTCTGAACAGTCTGAACTAAACTTTATTCCTGTAGGTTTCTTCATCAGCTTTCCTGTTCTTCATCGACGACACCCATAATTCATTTCTGATTGGGGACCATGAAACAAAGTGAGGACAGTCCTCAATTGGTATACGTGTATAAAACCGATGAGAGGTATAAACAAAGGAAGACCGATGAAATGTTTTCGTTGTACTTATGAAGTACCAGAATGACTCACATAGAACAAATCATATTCCATGTGTTTCTACCATTTTAAATTAATACAAACAATTCAAGTTGAATTATTTTTTTTCACCAAACTGTTCATTCTTGTCTCAGTGACGGTGTTGGATGCAGCGGAACATTCTGCGCCATACTCACACTCCTGGACCAACTCGCAGTGGAGAAAGACGTAGACGTCTTCCAAGCCATTAAGAAACTCCGCACCACCCGGGCTGGGATGGTCAAAACTTTGGTACGTGTCAAGTCATTATTACTGCACCTACGTACCGGGGCGTAATGGGTGATTTTAAGCAGAATCTTGCGATGTGGTATAAGGACTTTTCGAAACCTTGTCTTGTTGATTGGCTTGGTGTGCATCGGGTTCTTAGTTCGTGGCCAAATCAGATGTTTTGTTGCTTCAACATTGGTGAAAAAATAGAGCAGTAGCCAAAACAGTGGGGTTATTATAACTGAAGCAATACTTTAATTCATGAATGGATACCAAGGCCAAAAAAGGCTCCGGTTTCTGGTCTGCACGCGCGTCGTGGTATCCATGCGCGTCGGCAAAATGAAAAAGTTATTTTTTTTCAATTTAAGATGCTGTCTCAAAACCGCCAAACTCACTGGTTTGACTGGAATCCTGCTGCTGCACAATTTAAACGTGTTTTCAATGGGGTTCAGTCGAGTATAAACTTTATGTGGCCTCTCTGGGCTCCGATACATTTTGCACTAAATTTAGTCAGGAACCATTTGCAGTCATCAGCCGACATTTAACGAAAAAAAAAAAGTAAAAAAAAAAAAAAGACGCTTCGCCGCACCACTCCATACCAGAAACCAAAGACCTTTTTTTTTTACTAAAGACAGTCACCATGTAATTGTGATATTTAAATGTGAACATGAATGAAATCAACTCATACCTATGTTTTGATCTTAATTTCAGGCTCAGTACCAACTGTGCTACCAGGTGATCCAAACCTACTTGGATTCCGGCTCAATCTACGAGAACTATTGATGAACCAGTGTGGAACAACTTATTAGACATCATAAATGTCAGATTTGCATGTCCATTAATTTGTAACTGATACCTAAAGTTTTTGTAACGTCAGAGAGGATTTTTAAAAGGTAGGTTTCGCTTCTACCTCGGTATGAAATCTAGTTTCAATTCTAGCTCAGCAATTTATGTTCGTCTTGGGGCCCAGGCTACTAGCCTTTTTGTTCCTATCTCGCTGACTGACTTTCTGACTGACTGACAAGACTGTTTGCGGTACGGAGCGCGGGGCAGTGTTATCGTTTAGGATTACCCCGCACTGATGTGCTAAATCTGGGTCATTGTGTAGACCAGGGCCCAATTTCACGGCGCTGCTAAGCACAAAAAGTTGCTTAGCACAACAAAGTCTAGCTTATAAAAGCATATTACCAGCCAAAACTCCACGTGATTTTTATGCTAAGCAAACAACAGTTGAATACTAATCACAAGCATTATACATCACATGGAGTTTTGGCTGATAACCTGCTTTTATAAGCCAGACTTTTGTTGTGCTAAGCAACTTTTGTGCTGAGCAGCGCGTGAAAGTGGGATTTTTTATAAGCTATACTTTTTTGTGCTAAGCATTTTTTTTGCTTAGCAGCGCCGTGTAATTGGCCCCATACAGATGTTTGAAACGTCTGCCAGTGAATATCCGTTGTAAATCAATTGAATATGCGCTCTGACTTGGCCTGATGTGAGATTAAGCAGGCTTACCTAGTATTCTTTATTTGTCCCTGTTTAGCAGGGAATTTCCTCCTATATTTTAAACTCAACATGTTCCTTTGCCGTCTCAACCTGTCCTATATAGTCATCTTTGTGTTTATTTCCCCGCTTTGGTTTAACAAATCCTTAGTATAATAATTATTCAAGAAATGACGAGACAAATGCAGTCACAAAATAATGATATCATTAATTGATTACTTTTATACCTAATTAGACAAGCGGTAATTGATATATGACCATTTACTCAGACACCATGTGGGCATAAAGAAGTAAACTGTGCTGTAAACTTCAATCATGTGCTCATTGTACACGATTATTAATTTAACATTTATATTATCGAAAACAAAGCCTTTGTCGTAAAATGCGAACCATTGGATCTAGTCAACGTTAAGATAAGTGCTTTTAATTACAAAAATGATGACTTCACTGAGATACTTATACGCTAATATTAAGCATAAAATCGAGACATATTACGCAAAGTCTCTAATTATTTATATACTCAAGATGTTGTTTAAATATTGTTTATGGTACAATTCTAGTAATAATCATTATTTTAATCAAGAGTACACTCCTTAAGCTGCGTTTAGAAATTAAATTCAAATGATCTTGCTATTACTTTGTAAACAGGTTTAGAGGCTGAACATTACATGTCCAATGCCTGAACATCAGTGTGCAGTTGCTAAATACTGTTTATCAATACTCTATACATGTTTGGTATTTATACCAAATTGTTATGAAGTGATAGCAAGAAAGTGTTTAGTTTTTGCAGTGAAGCGAAAGGGTTAACCACCCATCGTAGACACGGAACTAGCGGTGGCTGTGGTTGGCATCAACATAAGTGAGAAAGCCGGGAACATTTCACCATGTTTTTCCGTCAAACATTGAAGTGTACTTTCTGTGCGTTATTAAGTGCTTTCATATCAGTTTTTTTAGTGCATGTTTCAAAATTCTCAGACACACATTCGTTAGATCGCCTATTTACAAGTATGTAAAAGACTTCTGTTACGAACTGCGAAGTGAAGTTGAATTTTGTTCACTTGAATTTCAGTCTAAAAAATATCCAAATAACACAATGAGCAAATAATGGGATAGCTGACAATCTATAATAAAATGTCATTATATATACGGCAGCGTAAATGTTGACTCTGGTTGTTGTTGTGGTTGTTGTGGTTGTTGTGGTTGTTGTGGTTGTTGTGGTTGTTGTGGTTCTTGTGGTTCTTGTGGTTGTTGTGGTTGTTGTTTGAGAGCCAGTATTCGCTATTTAAGTTTAGGAACAACACAGTTTTTTGTAAATTAAGTTTATATCAACGATAACGTGTTTTGTGTGCTAAAGATAAAGTTGTTGAGGTATCACTGGGTTCATGAGTGCAAGAAAGCGTGCAATGTGAAGCATGGAAATGCTTTAAAATCCTACATTAATCCTACGATCCCAAATGAAGAGTTAAACCACATAGCATCTACTGCATGTTTGTACAGCTTGATTAAACTAACTTGTACTGTTGAACTATTTATCGACACAACCATTTGATTAAATATCAAGCCACCAAATCTCTGCGATATTAAAACAATTCACCGTTGTCATGTACATTCAAAATGAACAACACGGACACCAAACTGCATCTGTTTGCTCTATCTATATGATTCAACCGAAAGATACTATGTTCTTTCATTTCTAACTTTTCGAATAAACCACAAGTGAAATTGTTTATAGGTGCATATAAAAACGAGTACAAAAAAAACCTGTCTGGGGCTGGGTTTGAACCTGCGACCTCTAGTGCGCTGCCAACCGGGCTACCCATTCCTATGTTGGTGGTCCAATGTTATTTCAATGTCTTTGTTCAAGGGTGCTATTGAAAATCGCTTTAATTTCTCACATTTTTTCCCCTCCTTTTTCTTTAAAATCGTGTGGCAGGAATCTTTTCTATAATGAATATCAATCCACATGGAATTAATCCATCGGACATTGAATCAACTCAAACCGAAGCGCACGTTTACCCTCTGGACATGTCGATGGTATGTGCCTCGCGCGCGTAGTGCTAAACATATCCTTATAAGGGGATAGGCGCGTACTCCGCGATTTGGCGCACAATGCAGCGGTGTTTCCCCGTTTGTTTAAAATCAACCACGTGACGGGCTCTCGACCAATAGGAATAGGTAAACTGTTTCAAGCACTTATGAATAAATGTTTAAAAGGTTTTTTCTTCTTTCATGGTATAACAATTATTACGTTCACTCACGACCTTTAGGTTCCTTATGCTTGAAAATTAGACATTATTCTCAGATCAAACAGGACGGAATCGCAAGAGTTAAAACAAAAACTGACAAAAGCTTGCCAATATTTCAACCTTGTTTAGTCTTTGTGCAAGGCTGTAGTTTTTTTTTTCACGTAGGCATCCGGTCTCTGACTTACAAAACGCCATCAAACTGCGGCGGTGGTAGGCGTCGCAATCAGAAAGATGAATCCAATGCAGTCTTGATGGGAACCGTAGCAGTGGGACTCATGAGATTCCGAGCATCTCAAGCGCGCGTAAGGGTTACTTGGACATTCTCTGGGTCTCAATGCCAAAGTTCCCATGTAAAAATTTGATAATCTTGTTGATAGCGCCCCCTAGCGCCGAGATGGATTAACGACACTTGCAAGATCGGGACCGGAGTAGCAGGAAAAGGTGCAAGTGCAGTCTTAAGACTAAGACACAACCCAACCGCGCAGTGCACTGATGGGAGCAGTGACCTACCAGTATTTTGGACTCCAATACGACGGGCCATTCAGTCGTGCCATGGCGGCAGGATTAAAGTCACCATCACTTGATGCTCGGATACGCTCATCAGGAATGGTGCCGCCTTCAAGACCCAGTCACTGACAACTATCTACTGTCAAGATCAAAATAAGACATGGATGAAAAGGTGGAAGGATAAGCATACAGCAAATGATTAAAAAAAAGTATAATTAAAAATAAAATCAACTTGAGATGTCATTTTTGAGTGGTTTCGAATTAAGACGCTTAAACTTATCTGATACATGTATAAATCCCCTTTTAAAATTCTGCAACACTGCTACTGAAAAGGGGGAAGTCTCGCCTATTTATGGCCATTTTCTTTTCTACAAACCTCCCCCCCCCGAAAAAAAAATAAAATAAAAAATACAAATATTGGGAACAGAATTGAAAGATGTTGCAGAACTGAAAGATGTTACCCTGAAAATCTCATCCGGGGTACGGTTTTAACCATACTGTAACGAAATATTGCTTCGCGCACTGGGCTTCCGTAGCTGCTGAGCGCTGGTGCGCGGGCTGCGTTCCGTGCGGCAGTGCACGTCGCTGGTGCTCTGCGTGCAGTGTATTTAAGCGCGCTGCACGTGCGTCGCGGGCGTCTTTCCGCTGCTTGCTCTTGCTCCGTGCGGACGAAAGCAAGTACGCTCTGCCGTTGCTCGCTGGCTGTTGGATTGGTGGGATTAGGCTGTACCCCGTGAACCCTAGTTGCGGGGACCTACATTAGACACTAGCGAGTTATGGAACAACAGCAGCAGCAGCAGAGGGCGGAAGGACCACAGACGGCATCGGTGGATGAGTGGCGACGGGCTGAGGGGTTGGAGATTAGCCAACGGTCCCTTGAAGAGAGACGGCAGTTGGAGAAGTTGTATACGCAGCTCCACTCAGAGTTAGACCAACTACGGGTGCAGTTAGGTGAAATAGATGTCAAGAGGCCACGAGTACCGGAAGGGACGATGGAGTTTGAATCACCACCTTCGAGAGGGAGGTATAATGATGATTATACCGGAAGGGCCTCGACGCTGGCGAACTATGGAGACACGGGGAGCAGTTCATCACCTACACCAGTGCCAAGGAGCAGGCCGACACCTAAGCCGAGAACAGGTCGTCGTGTACCTTCATTGGTGATGATGGCGCCAGTTAATTCACCAGTTTCATCATCTACAGCGATGGGCGCAGTAATTGATGTCGACGGAGTAGGCGGTGAAGACATCATGAACATTGGTTCGTCGATGGAGAGGAGTTCTTCCTTGCAGCTAACAGAAAGAACGACCGACCAATTAGAGAAGCCTTCAGTTAGAAAAGATTTGAAGCGTGAAGGGAGACACGAGGGAAATCAGGGGAAAGATGAGAGCCATACGACTACGACAATTCGCCGCCCAAATATTGTGCCGGATAGATACAACGGGAAAACCTCATGGAGAGATTTTTTGCACCACTTTGAGGCTTGCAAACTTGCTAACCAATGGGATGACAAACAGGCGAAAGTTTTCTTAGCTGCCAGTCTGCAGGGGACAGCCGTAAAGGTGCTGAGTAACGGACCGGCTGGTGAAGAAATGACGTATGAAGACATGAAAGACAGACTAGAAAGGAGATTTGGTCCGGGGCAGTTGTCCGAAAATCATCTGATGGAACTTCGTTGTAGGCGGCAAGGCCCGAGAGAAACCTTAAGGGAACTTGGTCAGGCGATAAGGGAGCTGGCTACACTAGCCTATCCGGAGATTGCAGACGAGGGGAAAGACCGCCTAGCGAGAGGCCATTTTTCCGATGCAATTGAGGACCAAGCCATACGGGAGGGGATTTTTCGGGCGAGGCCAAATACGCTCGATGAGGCAATC